GGACAGCTGTTGTTTGTGTATACTTGCTATTTGTTGTTGTGGACAGCTGTTGTCTGTGTCTACTTGCTGTTTGTTGTAGGGGACAGCTGTTGTCTGTGTATACTTGCTGTTTGTTGTAGGGGACAGCTGTTGTTTGTGTATACTTGCTGTTTGTTGTTGGGGACAGCTGTTATCTCTGTGTATACTTGCTGTTTGTTGTTGGGGACAGCTGTTATCTCTGTGTATACTTGCTGTTTGTTGTTGAGGACAGCTGTTGTCTGTGTCTACTTGCTGTTTGTTGGGGACAGCTGTTGTCTGTGTATACTTGCTATTTGTTGTAGGGGACAGCTGTTGTCTGTGTCTACTTGCTGTTTGTTGTAGGGGACAGCTGTTGTCTGTGTATACTTGCTATTTGTTGTTGGGGACAGCTGTTGTCTGTGTATACTTGCTGTTTGTTGTTAGGGACAGCTGTTGTCTGTGTATATTTGCTATTTGTTGTTGGGGACAGCTGTTATCTCTGTGTATACTTGCTGTTTGTTGTTGGGGACAGCTGTTATCTCTGTGTATACTTGCTGTTTGTTGTTGGGGACAGCTGTTATCTCTGTGTATACTTGCTGTTTGTTGTTGGGGACAGCTGTTGTCTGTGTCTACTTGCTGTTTGTTGTTGGGGACAGCTGTTGTCTGTGTATACTTGCTGTTTGTTGTTGGGGACAGCTGTTGTCTGTGTATACTTACTATTTGTTGTTGGGGACAGCTGTTGTCTGTGTATACTTGCTGTTTGTTGTTGGGGACAGCTGTTATCTGTGTATATTTGCTTTTTGTTGTTGGGGACAGCTGTTGTCTGTGTATATTTGCTGTTTGTTGTTGGGGACAGCTGTTGTCTGTGTATGTTTGTTGTTGGGGACAGCTGTTGTCTGTGTATATTTGCTGTTTGTTGTTGGGGACAGCTGTTGACTGTGTATATTTGCTGTTTGTTGATAGGGGCAACTTTTGTCTGTGTAAACTTGCTGTTTGTTGTTGAGAGCAATTGTTCGGTATACGCCTGCTGTTTTTTGTTGTGAACAACTTTTGTCTGTGTATATTTTCTTTTTTGAACAGCTGTTGTCTGTGTATTCTTGCAGTTTGTTGTTGGAATGTTTTGGGTGTTGACTGTGTATGCTTGCTGTTTTTTGTCGGGAACAACTGTTATCTGTGAATACTTGCTGTTTGATGTCTGGAACAGCAATTTTCTGTCAATACTTGCTGTTTGTTGTTGTGGGGAACAGCTATTGTCTGTGTAAACTTGCTGTTTGTTGTCTGGAACATCCGTTGTTTGAGAGCAACTGTATTCGGTATACGCCTGCTGTTTCTTGTTGGGAACAACCATCTCCTGTGTAAACTTGATGTTTGTTGTTGGGAATAACTATTGTATGTGTATATTAGCTTACTGTTTTGTTTAGGTCATGAACAACTAATTTTTGTGTATACTTGTTGTTTGTTGTTAACAGTTATTGTCTGTGTATACCTGATATTTGTTGTTTGAAACATATATTGTATGTTTATACTTGCTTTTTGTGTTGGGAAACGCTGTTGTTGTGTAAACTTGCTGTTTGGTGTTAGGAACAGCTGTTGTCTGTGTATACCTGATGTTTGTTGTTGAGAACAGATGTTGTCTGTGTATACCTGATGTTTGTTGTTGAGAACAGATATTGTCTGTGTATACCTGGTGTCTGTTGTTGAGAACAGCTGTTGTCTGTGTATACCTGATGTTTGTTGTTGGGATCAGCTGTTGTCTGTGTATACCTGGTGTCTGTTGTTGAGAACAGATATTGTCTGTGTATACCTGATGTTTGTTGTTGAGAACAGATATTGTCTGTGTATACCTGGTGTCTGTTGTTAAGAAGAGATATTGTCTGTGTATACCTGATGTTTGTTGTTGTAAACAGATATTGTCTGTGTATACCTGATGTTTGTTGTTAAAAACAGATATTGTCTGTGTATACCTGGTGTCTGTTTTTGAGAACAGATATTGTCTGTGTATGACTGGTGTTTGTTGTGAGGAAAAACTATCTTTGTGTGTGGATGCTGTTATCTTTATATGCCTTCTGTTTGTTGTTGAAAGCATTTATTTTCTGTATATGTTGGCAGTTTGTTGCTGAGCGCAACTGTTAAGAGCAGCTGTTATATTTCTGCTGCTTATTACTCATTTCAGATTCAACATTATAGCACACCGGACATACCCATAGATACACCGTCTCCCGCAGCAGATGTCTTAAAATGTAGATGTTAATGGTTCCCGTATCACATGGCGTTCTTCCTCTACTGTTTTGTTTGTTTACCACCTGCTGTTTGTTTGTAGTTGGGCAACAACACATTTTTTTTTTATGTGTATCGCTGTTTGTTGTTGAGAGCAACTATTGTCTTTATCTGCATTTGCTATTTGTTGTTGAGAAAACCCTTTTTTTTTTTAAATAAATGCCTTTTTTTTTTCTTGTTGAGAAAAACTTGTTTTTTAAATAAATGTATACCTGCTGTCTGTTTTTTTTTTGTTGTTTTTTTTTTTTTATTTAAAAAAAAAGAGGGGGGGGGGGTAGGGGGGGAGCCTTTATTATTTTTTTTAATGTATACCTCCTGTTTGTTGTTAAAAAAGTCTCTTTTTTTTTTTTTTTCAAGCAACAACAACTGCTTCTGATTCCCCCATTAGACGAACATACCATCCATAGCTTTCCATAGAGAAGGTTTTCTTGTTGGTTGTGATAAACAAATGTCTGCTTTAATTTAAGTGGGCAAGATCAATCTTCTGGTTTTTTTTTTCTTTATGTTCTTCTTCTGCTTTTTTTTCTCTTGTTCTTTTATTAACTTCTAAGCGAGAGAGCTCCATATCCCTGTGTTACTAAAGTCCTTCAGAGAAGCAGAATGTTGAATTAGGAATCGACATCACAACACTTTGGACACTCCTGTAAGCACTCCGTCCCCATTTTCAGCAGCAAGCGAAGCGTTCCAAGCCCGATGGCACCGGTAACTGTCTGATTGTACACCGGTCTCGCCTTTCCCTCGAGTGTTGAGCGTCGGCCAATCCCCTTGTTACTCGCAGCGCCATTCTCCTCAAACCGTAATGATCTGTTTATGCCTCCGCACTATTTACTCGCTTCAGGGAAGCCGAGTCCAGTAACACTGTAACCTGCCATCCTGTTTGTATGTTACAAGAACCTAGGGGGTCAGCTACCTTGAGCCCCCCCAACCCTCTTCTTTTTTTTTTACACACACAATGGTTTCATAAAGGTCCAGCTGTGTATATAAATTCTCTTTCAGTGTCAGGGAACTGACCACGCAGCCATTAGTTGAATTATGTGTGATATACATTTCGTTACTTTCGCTATCCCATTCATATCTTATGTTAACCCTTTATTTTTCAAGTATTTTTATAACATCTTCTCTCCTAAAGATGTGTTTTTCAGCTCTGTGAGACTAAAAATTTATTGGTGTAGAATAAAAACACTTTAGCATATAGAGACTTGAATTCAACACTGTCTGGTGCCAAAAGGGTGTAACGAATTAAATTTTTTTTTTTAAACATTATTTCAAGTTTGTTGTAGATTTACTATTCATGGCTTTATTCGTACGTTGATGGGGGTCCAGATCGGGTCGCCCATTGGCTGGCCGGTAGACGACTTCGACGCTGGTCGGGACAGTATTTGGGTCTGCCTTCCTTGACCATATTAACATCGCAAGCGTCCTTTTCAGAGCTACTAGGTAGCGAGCAGTTTTAAACCATTTTATGTGGTGCAAATAGCCTAGTCACAATTATAACCTCAAGCTTCCCCTTCGATGATGCTGGTTAATCGTAATGACTTTGTTTTTGTTTTGAGCAAAGCAACGGAACAGAAGAGAAGCAGAAAATAATTATGATGTACCCTGTTATGCAAGTTGTCATATCTGGATAGCTCTCTTACTAGGCAATCTTTAGCTGCAAATTACAGCCACACATGAACAAAGTCTACAAGCCTTGGTGTGGGCTGTGACAGGCTATGACCTTCCAGCTTGTAACTGTGATTGATCTCTGCTGGAACCTCTAGTACAGTGATTCTCAACCTGTGGGTCGCCACCCGTATGTAGGTCGACAAGAATGAAGTTATGAAGTAGCAACGAAAATAATTGTATGATTGAGGGTCGTGGCAACATGGGGAACTGTATTCAAGGGTCGTCGCAACATGAGGAACTGTATTCAAGGGTCGTCGCAACATGAGGAACTGTATTAAAGGGTCGTGGCAACATGGGGAACTGTATTAAAGGGTCGTGGCAACATGAGGAACTGTATTAAAAGGTCGTGGCAACATGGGGAACTGTATTAATGGGTCATGGCAACATGAGGAACTGTATTAAAGGGTCGTGGCAACATGGGAAACTGTATTAAAGGGTCGAGGCATTAGGAAGTTTGAGAACCACTGCTCTAGTATGTTATGGCTTGTTTTTTCTTGGCAGTGATTTTCTAAAAATTTAACATAGAGAATAATTATAAAATGTTGAATTTAGGGTGGGAAAGGGAATATTACAGGTGTAAACATCTTTGAGAGAGATGAGTGATGACTCATAAAGCCCGACTTCCTCTGCAGCCAATTATTGCCAACATTTAATGTCAATACAGGAAATGTCAGCACTAAGACTACCATATGACTACCATTCAGGTCTATGATACAGCCTCTTCTTCTTCTCCTCCTTCTTCTTCTCTTTCTCCTCCATCATCATCAATCATCATTATCATCATCATTCATCTTCATCATGTTCTTCTTTTTCTTCTTCTTTTTCTTCTTCTTCTTCTTCTTCTTCTTCTTCTTCTTCTTCTTCTTCTCACTGAGCCTTTAAGATTCATTGTGGAAGATATCGCCTGCCTCCATTCATGTGTGTGATTGGCCTTCTCCTTCTGGGTAGTGACTTCAGATGTGTGTGGGTTTGCCTGTATGTTATCTCTCCCCCATCTTCTTAGTCTAACTTTATTATCAGCCACTGGCGGCAATACAGTTTCCACATTCAATTTGTTGCAGGATTCTGCCAGTGGAGAGATCACCTCAACCGCAGAGCCCACCATTGTGCCTCAGGTGGCACAGAAGGCACAGCTGGATTCCACCAATGAAGAGGAGGAACCAGCTCAGGACATTGAGATGCCTCCACCCATGGAGATTCAGGAGCACTCCTTCAAGCAAGAGAGCAAGGAGGTATCCACGGATGATGTTACAGCAAAGTTGGTGAGTTCAGAAATTTCGTTGGCTGGAAGATCTGGTTTTCATTCATTCATTTATTCATTCATTCATTATCCTGTTGTGTCATTATATGTCATATAGGGCTGGCAGCCTATTTCTCCATTCTCTTCTGTCCTGTGCAATCACTTTCATATCATGGATGGAATAGGGACTAGGTGAGATTAGTGTATCTGAGCAGCTTGGGGCTGGTGAAAGGGAGTGTGTCTGGGAGGATTGGGGCAAATGAATGCCAGTATATCAGAGGGGATTGGGGCTGGTGAATGTGAGTATATCTGAGGGGATTGGTGCTGGGGGAGATAAGTATATCTGAGGGGATTGGGGCTGGAGGAGATGAGTATATCTGAGGGGATTGAGACTGTGAATGCGTGTATATCTGAGGGGATTGGGGCTGGGGGAGATAAGTATATCTGAGGGGCTTGAGACTGTGAATGCGAGTATATCTGAGGGGATGGGGCTGGAGAAGATGAGTATATCTGAGGGAATTGGGGCTGGAGGAAATGAGTATATCTGAGGGGATTGGTGCTGGTGAATGTGGGTATGTCTAAGGGAACTGGGGCTAAAGGAGGAGTATATGAGGGGATTGGGGCTGGAGGAATGAGTATATCTGAGGGGATTGGGGCTGGGGGAGATAAGTATATCTGAGGGGATTGGGGCTGGAGGAGATGAGTATATCTGAGGGGATTGAGACTGTGAATGCGAGTATATCTGAGGGGATGGGGCTGGAGGAGATGAGTATATCTGAGGGGATTGAGACTGTGAATGCGAGTATATCTGAGGGAATTGGGGCTGGAGGAAATGAGTATATCTGAGGGGATTGGTGCTGGTGAATGAGGGTATGTCTAAGGGAACTGGGGCTAGAGGAGTATATGAGGGGATTGGGGCTGGAGGAATGAGTATATCTGAGGGGATTGGGCTGGGGGAGATGAGTATATCTGAGGGGATTGAGGCTAAAGGAGATAAGTATATTTATGAGAACTGAAGCTGGAATAGGTAAGTTTTCTTCCAGGGATATGGGCAGATGGGATCAATGTTATTAATGTGATTGGAGCTGCAGGTAAATGGGTGTACTTGAGGATATTTGGGCTGGGAGGAAGGGTGAGGTGAATAGGATTGTGATTTGGGTAGATTGGTGTTATTGTGGCAATTGGGATTTGGGGGAGATGGGTGTACTTGAGGGGTGTAGGATAGGGGCGAGAATAGTGTACTTGAAGAGGTTGGGATTTAGGGAAATTGGTGTACTGGGCAGTTAGACTTGGGGTGGGGTTGAGATATGTATAGTTGGGTGTATTTTGGAGATGCAGATGTACTACTTGAGGGAATTGTGGTAAAGGGAGATTGATGTATTATTGGGATTAGGGTTGAGGGAGATTTGATTACTTGAGGGGTCTAGAGTTGGGAGAAGATTGGTGTATCTGAGGGAATGGAGGCTGGAAAAATGAATGTATCTGAAGGAATGGAGGCTGGTAAAATGAATGTATTTGAAGGGATCATCCCCATATGGATTTATGGGCCCCATTTGGGGAACGGGGAATTGGGGAATAGACCCACTGCCCCCGCTAACAAGCATGTTGTAAAAGTGGACTAATTAGGGATCGTTCTTTTGAAATCAGAGTGCATCTGCCTGAGAGGCAAGGAACCAGCAGTCTGCATACAAATAAGCCAGATCTGTAAAATGAAAGAGCACGCAAACCCCAAGTTCTGGAATAAGACCAGTGTCCATGAGTGGATAAACAACCAGAACTTTCCTACATAGTTTACAGCAGTGAACACTCAGAAGTAGAAGAAAGCAAAGGATTAGAGCTGGGGGAAAAAACTGTACATGAGGCTATTTGGAGGAAGTTAAACCAGGAAAGATATGAAACTACTTGTTATAGGATATATTATTACTCCTTTATCTTTCAAAATCTTCATTTTAAGAAAAGAAATATATTTTTTTAAGGCTTCACAGCTATCCCTGAAACCACAAGGTGATGCTGCAACAACATCTTTGGATTTGGCAAACCAGATTGAAAACATTGTCAAAAACAGAATTGTAAGTACCTGTATTGTTTGCTATTTTGGTATTACTGAATTATTTGGTATCGTGGCATGAAGGATTACAGGGGAACCACTGGATACAAGGTCAGACCCAATCCCCCCCCCCCCCCCCCCCCCCCCCCCCCCCCCCCTTTTTCCCAGAATATGAGGCGAAATCCAGGAGGCGAGCTGGAGAAACGAGAACTCTGAGTATTACCCCACAGCATCTTGAGAACTTTTAAAAGGCTTAGGTCGCGTTAACATTGCTCAAGGAGGATTTGAGCCAATTTACAAGGCACTTGATGATGATGATGATGGTGACTGTAGCCTGATGGAAGTAACCTTGTTTTCCACTGCCAGCAAAAACGAACGGGAAAAAAACAGGCACTGTCACACATTTTCCCTGTTAACAAAATGACAAACATCATTTTGATTTTGATTTTCGGAGGGCTGGAACATGTTTAAATTACTTACATTAATTTTAATAGGTAAAATAGTTGCAGATACTTCTTCTTCTTTGTGTTTGGTTTTGTATGCTCAAGTCAGACCATCAGGTGGGTTGCCTCTATAAACTCACGTGTCAGCTGCAGGTCCTGCATGGTTCCCCATAGCTTGCTTTAACACTTTGCACTTGAGGCCAGGTGTCTTTTCCAAGTTGTAGGTAGAGTGGGCAGGTCTGCAGAATGTGCTCAGGTGTTTGTATCCCGTTTGACAGACACACTGTGAGGACTGTACTAGCGTTATTTTATGCACGTGGTAGTTGAGTCTGCAGTGTCCTGTTCGTAGATGGAAAATTATTGTATGTTGCTTTCTTTTGAGTCTGCTGATGGGGTCTTGTGGATGTTTACTGTTAGTTTGTTCTCTCCACAATTTCTTGTATTTTCTCTTGATAAGTGTTCTGATTTTTGGTAATGAAATTGAATGGGTAATTCCAGATACAACCTTATGAGCTCAGTTGTGAAGCGGATTAAATTTGTAACCTAAAGTTCCACTGTATCAGTGTGAGAAATTATTGGTAGTACGTAAGACAAAGGCTGCTGTAGAGTGTAGTGGCTAGATACTTGCCAGTCAGCCTGAAGATCTTGGCTTCAGATTTTATTCTAAATTGACCTTGGCTCTCATTTTGTTCTAGCCTAAATTTGGGGTACCAGGTAATGTCCTGGGAAGTAAAGGCAGCTGGTGGGATGTTAACCAGATTACTCACTGAGGCCCAATAGGGCTTTAAAAGTATGTGTGCCAGTGAGAGAAACAAAAATGACAAATGAAGGCTAAGTGTTGGCAGACATGATGGCCAGTGTCATGTTACATCGACTAGATGAAGAAGAAAAATAAGAACAACAACAACAGCATCAACAACAACAACAAGAAAGCATTTTATGGTTAAGGTTCAGCTTTAATGTACTTTTAGGTTTAGCTTGGATGTATTTTAGGTTACAGTTTATCTAGAGTTTAGGTATAAGTGTAACTTGAATGTATTTTCATGATTTGGTCCAACTTAAATGCATTCTTAGGTTTAAGTTTAATCTGAAGGTATTTTTAGTTTTGAGTTTCACTTGGATATATTTTAGGTTCAACCTTGATGTACTTTTAGATTTAAGTTTAACTTGTACATATTTTCAGGTTTCCGTTTCACGTTAATTTATTTTTAAGTTTAACTTCAACTTGAATGTATTTTTAGGTTTTAATTAACTTTGATGTATTTTAGGTTGAACCGTGATGGATTTTAGATTCCAGTTGTAACTTGAATGGTTTTTTTTTGGGGGGGGGGGGGGGGGGGGGGGGCTTCACTTTAACATGCATTTTGTTAGGTTTAAGTTTAACTTGAATATATTTTTAGGTTGGAATTTAACTTGAAAATATTTTTAGTTTTTAGTTTGACTTGAATGTAATTTGACATTGCAGGATCTCTCGACGGAAATGAATGGTCAGATGACAAAGTCAGCTGACCAGGAACTGAGCCAGATGGAAGGGCATTGCACAAAGGAGGAAGATGAAGAAGATGACAAAGCTGGCAGTGATGATAAAGATGTAGAGGCAGAAAAGGCCAAACATCTCAAAAAGAGGCAGTAAGTTGAAATAGCAGTTAGGGTAAAAACTCTTGCTATGGAAAATCTTTGTGATATCATTAATTCAAATTGTAATCTGTGTCATCATCATCATGTAGCTGGTCCTCTACAGAACATGGCTCTCATCACGGTCTGCCTGAAAGAAACTCAGTCTCTCACCAGCTTTCCTACCTCATACACTTTCCTACCCAAGGTGTCACTGATATCCTGTGCTCCTATACATGCTGAGGGGCACCTGCCCCTCCTGATGGGCACCTGCCCCTCCTGATGGGCCCCTGGCCCTCCTTCCTTGTGCCATGCCTTCTGCTTTTTTTTTAGTCCTTCTTGGCTCTTGACATGGCCAAAATATTTCAGTTATTGATACAGGATGCTATTTACTAGCCAGTCTTCCTTGATGTTCAGCTTGCTTATATTGTATCCGGTGCATTTTGTTAAAAGTAAAGGACCTGCTTACCTGTCAGAAAAGTAAAGGATCTGCTTGCCTGTCAGAAAAGTAAAGGACCTGCTTGCCTGTCAGAAAAGTAAAGGATCTGCTTGCCTGTCAGAAAAGTAAAGGATCTGCTTGCCTGTCAGAAAAGTAAAGGACCTGCTTACCTGTCAGAAAAGTAAAGGACCTGCTTGCCTGTCAGAAAAGTAAAGGACCTGCTTGCCTGTCAGTAAAGTAAAAGATCTGCTTGCCTGTCAGGAAAGTAAAGGACCTGATTGCCTGTCAGTAAAGTAAAGGACCTGCTTGCCTGTCAGAAAAGTAAAGGACCTGCTTGCCTGTCAGTAAAGTAAAGGATCTGCTTGCCTGTCAGAAAAGTAAAGGATCTGCTTACTTGTCAGAAAAGTTAAGGACCTGCTTGCCTGTCAAGAAAGTAAAGGACCTGCTTGCCTGTCAGGAAAGTAAAGGACCTGCTTGCCTGTCAGTAAAGTAAAAGATCTGCTTGCCTGTCAGGAAAGTAAAGGACCTGCTTGCCTGTCAGAAAAGTAAAGGACCTGCTTGCCTGTCAGTAAAGTAAAAGATCTGCTTGCCTGTCAGGAAAGTAAAGGACCTGCTTGCCTGTCAGGAAAGTAAAGGACCTGCTTGCCTGTCAGAAAAGTAAAGGATTTGCTTGCCTGTCAGAAAAGTAAAGGATCTGCTTGCCTGTCAGAAAAGTAAAGGACCTGCTTACCTGTCAGTAAAGTAAAAGATCTGCTTGCCTGTCAGGAAAGTAAAGAACCTGCCTGCCTGTCAGTAAAGTAAAGGACCTGCTTGCCTGTCAGTAAAGTAAAAGATCTGCTTGCCTGTCAGGAAAGTAAAGGACCTGCTTGCCTGTCAGAAAAGTAAAGGACCTGCTTGCCTGTCAGGAAAGTAAAGGACCTGCTTGCCTGTCAGTAAAGTAAAGGATCTGCTTGCCTGTCAGAAAAGTAAAGGACCTGCTTACCTGTCAGAAAAGTAAAGGATCTGCTTGCCTGTCAGAAAAGTAAAGGACCTGCTTGCCTGTCAGAAAAGTAAAGGACCTGCTTGCCTGTCAGGAAAGTAAAGGACCTGCTTACCTGTCTGAAAAGTAAAGGACCTGCTTGCCTGTCAGTAAAGTAAAAGATCTGCTTGCCTGTCAGTAAAGTAAAGGATCTGCTTGCCTGTCAGAAAAGTAAAGGATCTGCTTACCCTGTGTGCTAAGCTAGTTTGGCGGAATTTATCCTCGCCTGGAGGTCCCCTATTCTCCTTCCTAAATATTTTACAGGGCTCAAATTAAGAAAGTCTAGGGGAATTCTGTTGGTCCCTGAGTTCATAAAAAAAAGGAAGGGATATACAGAAAATCAAACCAATAGGGTGAATCCCAGGAATAGAACTGAATACATAATTATTCTTTTAACTAAACTTCAGAATAAACAAAGTTCAACACCTTGCAAATTGAACGCAAATAAATCACAATGTACAATACTTTGTCTACACAAGGAATTAAAATCGATACTAATTGATATAATCCGATATTTGAGTTTTCTAAATCAACAATTGTATTGACATAATACGGTCCAGGAATCCCAACAAATTATTCAACTTAAAAAAAGAAAAAAAACAAATCACGGCCTCATCATACACCACAATACATATTCACAGGCATCAAAACGTCACTCAGCTCTAGGATAGTTCGAGTGAAATACAGCCTTCTCCCGATGTATGGACAATGTGCTGGCAACAATGGTAGTGATTGGCTATCTGCATCAGTCGTCATTTAATTTTGGATTTCCATTCTATCGTGTTGTTCACAATCCATGGTGTTACAGGGAACCTGAATTCGTATTATTATTTCTTTTTGGCTAGGCGGATGGAAAGGCTGGGGCTGTCGTTTGATGTAGTGACGAATGAATAGCTCTAAGGTTTTCTCTTAGTAACACTAAGAAAACGTCATAAGTTATGTGCGCCATCGTTCATTTTCTACTACTCTTCCCGCATCTATATTAATCTATATTTATTTTAAGTGCGCAATTCTTTTAACCAAAAGATGCAGTAAACTTTTGCCAGACTGAAAAATTTCGTTGGTTTGTCACACCTGTCAGAAAAGTAAAGGATCTGCTTACCTGTCAGTAAAGTAAAGGATCTGCTTGCCTGTCCGTTAAGTAAAGGACCTGCTTGCCTGTCAGTAAAGTAAAGGATCTGCTTGTCTGTCAGGAAAGTAAAGGATCTGCTTACCTGTCAGTAAAGTAAAGGATCTGCTTACCTGTCAGTAAAGTAAAGGATCTGCTTACCTGTCAGTAAAGTAAAGGATCTGCTTACCTGTCAAGAAAGTAAAGGACCTGCTTGCCTGTCAAGAAAGTAAATGACCTGCTTGCCTGTCAGGAAAGTAAAGGACCTGCTTGCCTGTCAGTAAAGTAAAGGATCTGCTTACCTGTCAGTAAAGTAAAGGATCTACTTACCTGTCAAGAAAGTAAAGGACCTGCTTGCCTGTCAAGAAAGTAAAGCACCTGCTTGCCTGTCAGGAAAGTAAAGGACCTGCTTGCCTGTCAGTAAAGTAAAAGATCTGCTTACCTGTCAGTAAAGTAAAGGATCTGCTTACCTGTCAGTAAAGTAAAGGACCTGCTTGCCTGTCAGTAAAGTAAAGGATCTGCTTGTCTGTCAGGAAAGTAAATATACTTGATGCATAAAGCATCCTCAACTGTATTTTAGATGCTCAACAGTTACAGTTAAATTAGTGTTGAACTAACAAACAAGAACAGTAAACACAAAATGACACTTCAAGAAGATAATGGTGGCAATGGTGACCACTACAGCGGTGGTATGAGTCGTCGTTGTTGTCTTTTTCTTCTTCTTCTTCTTCTTCTGCTTCTCCTCCTCCTCCCCATTCACTTCCCCCCCCCCTCCTCCTCCTCTTCTTCTTTTTCTGCTGCTGCTACTACTACTACTACTACTACTACTACTACTACTACTACTACTACTACTACTACTACTACTACTACTACTACTACTACTACTACTATTACTACTATTCCTACTACTACTACAACTACCACTTCTTCTTCACATTCACTGGTTGTAAACTCCGGCGGAAAGTTCTCATTGTTTGTCCACTTTTGGACTTTAGTCTTGTTCCAGAACTTGAGTTTTGCTTGTACATCCATGTTACAGATCTGGTGTATTTGTGTGCAGACTGTTGGCTCCTCACCTCTCAGGCAGATGCACTTAGACTTCGAATTTTATTTTAGGACATACTTGTTGAGAAGTGGGGTCTCTAATTCCAGTTCCAGCTAACTTTTAATTAGTCATCTACATAATTGTGATGTAAAGATGCAATATTTTGTGAGACCCAGGAACCCACACTGGAAGCTTGATTTGAAAAATAAAGGACCCTGTTCCACGCCTTCTGGCATATAGTGCTGGACCTTTATTTTATAGTCCAGTTGGCACTCGGTGGGTGATAAGGTCAGCATTATGACGGCCACCTTTACTTCTCAGGACTTTTCCTAGTACCCGTTTAGGGCTGCATTGACCTGCGACCCAAAGTCTTTTAAAAAAAAAAAAATAAATAGTAAGATGCTCTGAAAGATAACATAATAATAATAATGGTATTTTCTTCCCCACTGCGACAGGTATGTGGTACAGGAGTTGTTTGATACAGAGAAGGACTATGTCAGGGACCTTGCCAGCATTGTGGAGGTAATTCTTTCTTTCACAGGTTTCTTTCTTTTTTTTTTTTTCGATCGTATCTTTAAATAGCAACAGAGTCCCTTAATGTCCACATACACCAGAGGAGGCTGAGTGGTCTCAAGGTATGACCTCCGCCTCGAGTGCTGGAGGTCCCGGGAACGAGCCCCAGTGAAGGCTGAGGTTTTTTCACGTGGACTTCTAGTAATTTCCCCTGGTCTTTGGGTAGTAAGATCGGACGCCCTTGTGCACGTAACAAATCCCTTGGCATTAGGAAATCGAAAAAAGTAGCCTAACGGCTTTACTGTATCTGAACATGTTGAAAGTACATGAGACAGAAACCTGTGGATGGTCTGACTTTCAACTTTGCATGGTGCAGACTGTAAGAAGAAGAAGTTGATCCTTAGTGCTCATTTCTTTCTTCTTCTTCTTCTTCTTCTTCTTCTTCTTCTTCTTCTTCTTCTTCTTCTTCTTCTTCTTCCCCTTCTTCTTCTTCATCTTTTTCTTCTTCTTTCTTTTTTTCTTCTTCACATTCACTGGCTGTAAATGCCAGCAGAAATTTCTGGTTGTTTGTTCATTTCTGGACTTTAGTCTTGTTTCATAACTTGAGTTTTGCATGCATCTCATATTAACAAATCTGGCTTATTGGTATGCAGACTGTTAGTTCATTGCCTCTCCAGCAGATGCACTCTGACTGCAAAGCAGACACCTCTAATTAGTAGCCTTTTGATCAAGGCCTAATGATCACTGGTGTCACTATTAACCAATGACCAGATGCTTGCCTGTCAGCCTGGTGATTTTGGGTTTAAATTTGCATCAAGGCCAGTTTTTATATTTGATCTGGGCTCTCGGGTCATCCAGTTACCAGGAAATGTCCTGGGAAGTAAATATTGACATCATCCATCGAGTGCCAATTTGTCTATAAAAATGGGGATTTAGCCCATTCAGCCAATAGCATGCCAAGGGTCCCCTGCATGTCTAATTTTTATTATGTTATTGCTAATTATCGGCATCTGCTGCTTTCGTGTTTACACACACGCTTCATAATGCCTGGTTCGATCCAGCTACAGGCAGTTTGACAGCAAACTGTCTTCTTTTGGTCTTGACAGTGGAGCCAACCGTTCTGAAAGCAGTGGCAAACTACTGAACATAAAATATGCCTAGATGAAACCACAACCACACACAAAAACACACACACAATGCTGGGATTAGTTCTGCAACTTCCTGTAAAGACTACGCAACTAACTAATTGCTGAATGTTCCTTTCTGTGAATGTAATAATTTATGCCTCTGTGACCTTTACACAGGGATACATGGCATATATGAGAGACAACCCCCTCCCGGATGAAATGGAGGGAAAGGACAAAATTGTGTTTGGCAACATTCATCAGATCTATGATTGGCACAAAGAGTAAGTAGTTTGTGAGTCATCATCATCATCATCATTCTGTTGCACCATTAAATGCCACAAAGGGCCCCCAGTCTGTTCCTCAGTATCCTGTGCAGTTTTTCAATATCATGGATGGAATGAAGTCTAACACCTTGTCTCACTCATCAACTTTCATCTTAGCATCACTGTTGGAGGTCTTTGATTCCTTAATCCAGATGTTTCCCATTTCAACGCCTGTTTTGTGATTCTGTGTCAGCTTTTCCTCAGGATATCATAATAGTGTTCATCATATAACTGTTGTCTAGATTTGATTTAATCTGTTGGTGCCAATAACAGTTGCCCAGACTTTGCCAGTCAGAAGGTAGAAATCTGATCCACAGGAGCTACCTGCAAAGCAAACTATGGGACATGGATTGAGACCTAAATCACACTGTCTTATTTGTGACTTCCTGCGATAAGGGATTCACACTGGCCTACCTACCCACTCATCGTTCTTATTACTGTATTTTTTTTTTAATGTGTGGTTAGCACCATTTATCTTGTGCACCTTAAGGTGTGAAGAAGGATCCTCATTTTACTGATGTGTTTTGTTGTTATAACATTATTTAAAGAACATGTGTCCCCCAAAATGCAGCATCAAAGAGCAGATGGGACTAATCTGAAGCAAGTCAATATGTTTATGTATTTGGGTACCTTGGTGACAGCAGGTGGAAATGTATTAAAGAAGTTAAAGATAGAATAACTCAGGCAAAGGCAGCATTTTAGAAAATGAAGAACATTCTGTGCAATCTTATTTTGTTTATATTTTTTTGTTCAAATTTAATTGAGGTGAGGAAGAAAGTTCTGTTGAGCAATTTAGGATGAATCCTGATATACTGAAGTGAATCATGGACAGGTGGCCAAATAATTTTTTTTTAAATATATTATGTGGAAGCTGCAGAGATGTGGTTTTATAGATGAATAATGAGAACAACATGGACAGATGACAAGTGTAAAGAAGATGTCTTGAAAGAAATTACCCCCAGGGAGAACTGATTTTTTGCATCAGAAGGAGACAATCTACTTTCTTTGGTCATGTCATGAGGAGGAGAAAACTGGAGTACACCTTGATGGTGGTAAAGTTTAAGGAGGAAAAGGGAGACCTAGAGAGAAGATGCTTGACAGTTTGACATTATGACATGGAAGATCATCTGTGCCAGAACTGATTGACAGTTTGACATTATGACATGGAAGATCATCTGTGCCAGAACTGATTGACAGTTTGACATTATGACATGGAAGATCATCTGTGCCAGAACTTATTGACACAGTTTACCAGACAGAAGGCTATGAATAGACATGACTACCAGTGTCACACGGCATGGACTATAAGAAGAAAAATGTTTTTATGATTTATTGTGAATCTTCAGGAACATTAACTGTTGAAGAAGAAGAAGGAGAAGGTATACTATTGGCATCTACCTGTGTTTTATGTTTTCTTGGTGATTAACAATATATTATCTGCCATATTTCTGCGATTTGTTTAATGTTTAATATGCAATACTTCAGTGACAGCATACATGATTCTGTAAACATTATTCCTATATCCACAGAACCATGCTTGCAGAATTAGAAAAATGTTTAACAAATCCAGCCAGAGTCGGATCTATATTTATTCGCTATGTAAGTATCTCACTTATTCAAATCCGCACCAAAGCAGATTTTTTTCCCTTTAAAATTGACCTTGGCTCCAAGGTCGACCAAACCTAAAATGGCTACCAGTTTATGTCCTAGGAAGTAGAGCGGCCAGAATGATGTTGACCACATCACTCATCTAGTCGCCATAGGTCCAGCCCTACATGCCCTATGTGATAAAAGACATGAAAATAGACCTCTGTATTGTTTTTTTAAATATCTCACTTGTACGTTTTTGATGTAAATCATTTCTGAATTCAGAAGTGGGAGCTCCAGTAGCCCAGTAGATAGCATGCTTGCCTCCCAGCCAATGTGACTTTGTGTTCAAGCCTACATTGAAGCCATGGTACATGTCATGATAAGAGACCCAACAATGAGAGTGACCTCTCTTTCTATTGATGGCTCAATCTGGTGCAGTGCCTCTACTATGTCGCAGGTGTTTCAGGCGTACTGAGTCAAATTTTGCTCCTTGTTGACAGTAGCCGATGATATCGTGTCTTCTATGCTGTGAGCGCTTTTAATTGTCTCAAAACATGTACAACTGGGCCTAACCACAACCCCCCCTCCCTCCCCCACCACACCTCACTCCTCAGCCTATGTCTTATGACTGTATGCAGCCTCTGTTATACGCAGCATACAGTCATGTGACCTAGGATGCACCCCAGCGACATAGTAGAGGCCCTACACCAGATCGAGGCATCAATGGGAAGGGAGGACACTCTCATCGTTGGGTCTATTAACGTGACTAGAACCGAAGTCACTTATAAAGTGGATCTCCCTGTGTGGGCCCAAAGGTGGCTTATGTGATCATAATCATTTAACTCATTGATTGTCACCTGGTCTGTTAAAATAAATGTGAGAATCACACCACATACCTCAAAGTATTCTTCTTCTTTTGTGTTTGTTGATTGGCATATTATGTCATATTTGTACTTTCTGGTTGCGCACAGGAACGAAGAATGTACATGTATGTAAAATACTGTGAGAACAAACCCAAGTCTGAGTATATTGTGTCAGAGTTCCTCGACACCTACTTTGAGGTAAGTCTGCTTTGTTGGTCGATTCCTTCTTTCATGATTGTTGGTGTTTTATTTAGTCATGTCATTGTTTTGTAGTTTTAATGTTGGAGTCTACATGAGCAAACAGATCAGTCATTCGTAAGTAAGTATGGGACACTTGCCGCTATAAAACACAAGGACTGTTTTACAGCTTTCAGACAGAGGTGCAGCTATCCACATAATACTCCTAGAGTCAAAAGTGGATACATCGCACAACTAACCTTCATTGTAAAGGCAGCATGATTTTGTTCTTTTCAGGACACATATCCGCCCTTTATAATGTATGGTTTAATTTAACAGACTTAGTGACATTGAATATGCTTAAGAAAATCCTTGCTGGGTTCAACAGACAAGAATGGTTGGCATCACTGGGCATGTCACGAATGGCTGGTTTAACCTTTGTCTTTGTGCCCGGTCTGTCTTTCAGTCCCTTTCTTTCAGTCTCTTCCTCCTTCTGACTGTCTTTCAGTCTGTCTTCATCAGTCTCTTTTTCCCTCTGTCTATCTTTCAGTCTCTCTCCATCAGTCTCCCCCCCCCCCTATCTTTCACTGTCTCTCCGTCAACCCCTTCCTCTGTCTATCTTTCAGTTGCTCTCCACTAATCCCTTCCTCTATCTTTCAGTCCCTCCATATGTCTTTCCCACCCTGTGTCAGTCTCTCTCCACTAATCCCTTCCTCTATCTTTCAGTCCCTCCATATGTCTTTCCCACCCTGTGTCAGTCTCTCTCCACTAATCCCTTCCTCTATCTTTCAGTCCCTCCATGTGTCATTCCCACCCTGTGTCAGTCTTTCTCCATTAATCCCTCCCTCTATCTTTCAGTCTCTCCAATAATTCCTTCCTCTATCTTTGTCTCTCTCCATTAATCCCTCCCTCTATCTTTCAGTCTCTCTCCATTAATCCCTCCCTCTATCTTTCAGCCTCTCTCCATTAATCCCTCCCTCTATCTTTCAGTCTCTCTCCATTATGCCCACCCTCTATCTTTCAGTCTCTCTCCATTAATCCCTCCCTCTATCTTTCAGCCTCTCTCCATTAATCCCTTCCTCTATCTTTCAGTATTTCTCCATTAATCCCTCCCTCTATATTTCAATCTCTCTCCATTAATCTCTTCCTCTTTCTTTCAGTCTCTCTCCATTAATCTCTCCCTCTATCTTTCAGTCTCTCTCCATTAATCCCTCCCTCTATCTTTCAGTCTCTCTCCATTAATCCCTTCCACTATCTTTCAGTCTCTCTTCATTAATCCCGCCCTCTATCTTTCAGTCTCTCCATTAATTCCTCCCTCTATCTTTAAGTCTCTCTCCATTAATCCCTCCATCTTTCAGTCTCCATTAATCCCTCCCTCTATCTTTCAGTCTCTCCAATAATTCCTTCCTCTATCTTTGTCTCTCTCCATTAATCCCTCCCTCTTTCAGTCTCTCTCCATTAATCCCTCCCTCTATCTTTCAGCCTCTCTCCATTAATCCCTCCCTCTATCTTTCAGTCTATCTCCATTAATCCCTCCCTCTATCTTTCAGTCTCTCTCCATTAATCCCTTCCTCTATCTTTCAGTCTCTCTCCATTAATCCCTCCCTCTATCTTTCAGTCTCTCCATTAATCTCTTCCTCTATCTTTCAGTCTCTCTCCATTAATCCCTTCCTCTATCTTTCAGTCTTTCTCCATTAATCCCTCCCTCTATCTTTCAGTCTCTCTCCACTAATCCCTCCCTCTATCTTTCAGTCTCTCTCCATTAATCCCTCCCTCTGTCTTTCAATCTCTCTCCATTAATCCCTTCCTCTATCTTTCAGTCATTCTATAAGTCTTTCCCACCTGGTGTCAGTCTCTCTCCATTGGTCTCTCCCTCCCTCTGTCTACTTTTCCTTCTCTCTCTATCAGTCTCCCCAACTTTCATCTCATATACTTGGTTTGCCATTTGTTTGTATGAGTTTAAAACACTGGTGCTTCCTGTTTCACTTATTGATTTATAGTGAATCGCCGTAATGCATATGCATAATTAATAGCTGCAGCTGAAGTGTTACAATAGACGCACAGTGGAAACTGTACAAGCTGAAACAACACCCAGTGAGCATTATTTTAGACATTTATCTGATGGTTAATTATGTAATAAACATCTACCAGACAGTTGTAGAAAGAGCTGTTACTTAGACTTAGAAATCAACAGGAAGATTGTGCAGTTTTTAACTTTAAAAAAAAAAAAAAATCAAATGTGCAGTTCAAAAACGTTGGGTCATTTTGATTTTTTTTTTTTTTTTTTTTTTGTTCCATTAAATTTACATCACTTCCTGGATATTTCATTAACATGTTTATCTTTTTTTTTTTTTTTTGGGTGTGTTTTGTCATTGTCGTTATTTATAAATAGCTCTTTGTTGTAATATTTTTTTTTTAGCCTTATATTTGTGTGTATTGTATCTTTAATTTATCTTTTTTTTTAAAGCGATCTTAGCCCTTCAGGTTAAATTTTTGCAGATATCGCCCACCTCCATTCATCTCTGTGATTTGCCTTCTCTTTGCAGTTGGTGTCTGCAAGTATCTGTACATCTGTCTGTATTTTTATTTTCTCTCCACTATCTTCTTGGTCTGCCTCATAGTTAGCCCCCTTCGACTCTTGTGTATAGGCAGTTATCTCTCTGTTATCTGGAGTTTTCTACATTTCCTCCGAACCATTGCGTTCTGTTAACCGTCATGATGCCAGTAATAGTCACTGCACATTGGGCATTCCCATACATGCTTAGTCTCTAATGCAGCAGGCAGCCTAAGGTGCCACTAGTGAATGTTCCCTTGAGAAGTTGTGCTGATGGACAGAATCAAAACAAACAGGAATGAATAGAGAACTGATATCACATCACTCAAGGCATTTCCATAAATCTCTATATCCTCTTCATGTCGCTATTGACACATAAAGCATTCACAAGTGATCTCCATTGCTGCCGGTCTGCTGCTTTTCTGCCCATGGTATCCCAAGTCAGTTTACATTCCTTCATTTCCCTTTCTATTGTCCCTCTCCAGGTTTCCTAAGGTCGTCCACGTCTGCTTGTCCCATCTGCTGTCCACTGGAGAGCTGTTTTTGCCAGTGTCACAAGGCATCTGCAACATGTCGGAGCCATCTCCATCGTCTTACTATTTCCATAAATACCCCACCCTTATCTTCAGCAGCCAGCGCTAAGTCCCTCTACTAATAGAGCTAGTTGTGGTCTTAGTAATGTTCATCTTGCCTTTTCTTTGAGCACTAAGTATTGCCCAGATCCTCTGATTACTCCTATTTGCCTTTCTTGGCCATGAGGATCTGTTCACTCATCCATGTTGTTGGCAACATGATCCCAAAGACGAATGTATATATTGCTATTAGAGCTGACCTGAACATTCGCTTCGGGGCCGAATAGTGGACCTAATAACTATTTGGTATTCGACCGAATACTTGCGGTCAGGCCGAATACAAATAGTGGTTACCTTACACCTGCTTCTGCATATCCTGCCTTAATGCTGACAACATGGAACGATTGGTTTTGTTGAAAGCTAACGCAACTTTCATGCATTAACTAAGCTGTCAGTGACAATTTCCAAGTTTAGTTACTTGTTGTAATACTTAGGATTCTTTCATTCCTAGTTATTAGTTACTACAGATGACTGAAGGATGCAAAACATAGAATGTTTTTAAATGTTTTACTATTCTGTACTACATTTTCTTAAGTAAAAGTTCAGCATACATTTGACATTATAAATGTTTTTTTAGATTTATTTTATACACTATACACTATTCGTATTCGGCTAAATAGTTGGTCCCGTTTTTCGTATTCGGCTGAATAGTGCTAATCACCTATTCTGTACAGCTCTAACTGCTATCATTTGTAATTTTCTTTGCAGGAGGTACGACAGAAATTGGGCCACCGCCTCATGTTGCCAGATCTATTGATAAAACCAGTTCAAAGAATTATGCGTTATCAGCTGTTGCTCAAGGTATGTATTTGTGTTTTCTGTCACTTGTATGCTTTCATATCATGGTGGAATGGTGACTATATTCTGTCTGTTGTGGGTTCCTGGGCCGTATTGGAGAGAGAGGGGGCGGGGGGGAGAGAAAAGACTGATTGCCCCTAACAAGCATGTCATAAAAATGAATGATTGGGGGAATGCTGAAATTGAATGTGATGGACAGAAAGATGCAGATTTAATGGCCTAGCTGTAGACCGCAATGCAGCATGCCAGCCATCCTTTTAAAGGTGCACACAGAAGAAGAATAAAAATATATTATGTTGTTTGTGGATTTGTCATGATATTTTGGATACATTTCTATTCATTGTCCTAGTTTTCTGTTTTCCTGTCTTTTTTTTTTTTTTTTTTTGTGGTTTCACCAATTTGGCCTAAAGATTTCATAGCAGATGTCAGAGAGGTTAAAATAATCACTATGAAAAATCACCCGTGCAAAACTTGTAGACAGTAGAAGTGGCCACTGGAGAAGACACATTTGTTAATTTTTCTCTGATCATATGTACGAATGAAAGGAACACACTGCCTGACGGCTGAGTTTTATCAGAAAAAGTCTATCACATATCATGTTGATTGAGAGTGAAACAGTTTATAACTGTCTCATTGTCTTTCTGTATCTCTCTCTTCCTCCCTTTCTCTGTATCTCTCTCACCTCCCTCTTTTTCTCACTCACTTTCTCTTCTACCCTCTCCAGCTCTCTCTGTCACTCCTTATCTTTCTTAACCATTAAGCTACCGTGAACTCTTGGTAATGGATAAGAATTTGATAAGACCTAGATTTTCATGCTGATGTCTTTCTGTGACAGGACATAGTAAAGTACACAGAAAAGGCTGAAGAAGACCCTACAGAGCTGAGGAAGGCACTTCGAGTGATGTGTGTGGTACCAAAAGCAGCAAATGATATGATGCAAGTAGGACGGCTACAAGGTTTTGATGTAAGTTTGCATTATTATTCTGTTCATTTGTAATTTTTTTTTTAAGTGACATTTTTCATTGTTTTTACTAGTTACTACTACTACTTCTTTTTCTTTTTCTTCTTCTCCTTCTCCTCCTCCTCCTGCTGCTGCTGCTTCTTCTTCTTCTTCTTTTGCTTTTCCTTTAAAGGGGTGGTTGGCATGTTATGTTACGTTGTGGTTTACAGCTAGGCAGCAATGTCTGCACTTTTCAGCCCAAGACATCCAGCAAACACTGAATTCTTGACGTTTTTGAGATTATGCCTCAGCTTTGAATTATTAGATACCTGTTAATTGTAACATGTGCATCAGTTTTCACATTAGCTTTTTATTCTTCTTCTTTTTCTTCTTCTTCTTCTTCTTCTTCTTCTTCTTCTTCTTCTTCTTCTTCTTCTTCTTCTTCTTCTTCTTCTTCTTCTTCTTCTTCTTTTTCTTCTTCTTCTTCTTCTTCTTCTTCTTCTATTTCTTCTTCTCCTCTTCCTCCTCCTTCTTCTTCTTCTCCTCCTCCTCCTTCTTCTTCTTCTCCTCCTCCTCCTTCTTCTTCTTCTCCTCCTCCTCCTCCTCCTCCTCCTTCTTCTTCTTCTTCTTTATTCATTTTTAACAGCAGTGTTTGCAAGTTTTATTGTGGTTTACAGCTAGTCTGTGATATGTGCCTTTTGGCAAATCCTTAATTTTTTGTGGTGGGGTCTTGAAGTCTATCACAGAAGTCGAGCTGTTTTGAAACTTCCTACTGCACTCAGACACTTGCCAGACTAACAGGTATGCATTACCATACCGGAACTTCATTCGCCCTATTAATTTCTTTAGGTTTCACCCCTTCAGTGATCAAAAAATGAATAACAGAACTCTGCTCCTCTTTGTATGTGTCTTTGGTGCTTGTCTCAAGTGGGGTGGCCATCTTTAAACTGTCGTGATGATGTCACCATGTTTGTCTGCACCATGATGATATTACATGCTTAACACCCTTGACATCCTTAACAACAATATTGACAGGTTACAAGAGATAGTGACATGGGTAATGTAATTTCTATCATAGAATGTGTATTTGAAACCCCCCTCATATGTTTCTGTTGGTTGTGAACTCATTTAAATTTGCTTAATAAAAGTCTGAGCAGATAAACATACAAGGTCCGACAATTAAGCAATGAAACTAATTCCATAAAAATTTAAAAAATCAACAGTTGAAGATATAACCTGTATTTTATTCAAAGTAAGCCCCTTATGCATTGATACAGTGAGTAGCACAATCTAACAAACACTGAAACTATCTCTGTAGTTTTTCTGTTGCTATGGCCCTTAAAGTCGTTGTTACGGCCCTTTGGATGCCATCAATTTTGTCAAAAAAGCGTTCTTTCAATGGTAACTTTAATTTTGGGAATATACAATAATTACATGGAGACAAATCTGGGAAATAGGATGAGAACACACTCTTGTTTTGGGGCCCAAATTCCTGTTTTGATGATGTCTCGTGGCTTTTCAACCAGTTGATATTTTTGGTCATTAGACAGCGAAAGCGGTACAAACCTGCAAGCATATTTTTTTCTGGCCAATATCTTGCTCTAAAACTTTACGAAGGGTCTCTCTATTAACACAAGATTCATCTGCCATCATCCTGACAGTAAAGGAACGATCTTCTTGTACCCGTTCTGTGACGTTTGCAAAGAGTTTATCATTACAAACAGAAATTGGGCGTCCAGGTCTAGTTTTATTAGTAATCATTTCTACACCACTTTTGAATCGTGAATACCACCTGAAAATCTGTGCAGTAGATAAACCATTATCCCCATAAATTTGTGGCATCAATTGAACTGTTGCAGTGGCGCTTTTTCTGAGTTTTAAACAGGATTTAATGTTAGCTTTTTGCTCCTTGCTGATTGCTTAACGATGCACATCTAACTGGGTCAATAAAAAGGCGGCTTGTTTGTCATCAGCTTATCAGGCGGCGATGCGAAGTTGTCAGATCATAGATGAAGGATGCCTCTTTGGATTCAATGCTTTGCTTCACACATTTGTCTTGGCTGTAATAAAATCAGTCTCATTACTTAATTGTCGGACCTTGTATGTCTCTCATAATAAGAGTCTGAATCATGAGCAAGATCACTTTTCAGCTATCTGTTAATGGTCATACATGTTTAACCTTTCCCACAGGGCAAAATTACAGCTCAAGGGAAACTACTGTTGCAGGTAGGTTGGTTTGAAATGTCAAGTCATTGTGTGCCATTTACCTCTCATGTAATCATGTATTGATTAAAGTGCCCCAGTCAGTGGCTGTGTGGTTCAGTGAGAAGGTCATTTCTTTCTGATATATGAAGTTGAGAAATGTTGTCACTGAACCAGGATTAAATCTTTCATTACCAACAAATCATATCTTTACCCTATTTTTTTTTGGGGGGGGGGATATCCCTAGAAAGTTTAGTGTACAACTTCAGTGTTTGTGCCTGAAGCAGTTGAGATGAACCCCTATGACAGAATAGGTTAATCTAACAGCTGGCTAGTGCAGTGATTTTGGTCACAGGCATGAGGGAATGTGAAGGCTACTGTGATGTGTATAAGGAGATACTCCGTACCTCACCTCAGATACCAGCAGGCTCTTATACTGGTTTTACGGATCTTTGTTCAAGATTCATTCCTCATGTCCTCATTGTGCACTACATATAATGGCACATATGGGCCTGAAACTGAGCTGGTGGGGGTTCACAGAGTGCTGGCTCCCAGAGATGCAGTGTCCAGGAATCCTCTGGCTCTAATCAGCCCACCCCTAATGCCTGGGTGATAACATCTTTGGAAAACTGGTTTGGAACATAAGTGCAGGCAGAACTTCCAACTATTTGACAAATTGTGGCTCAAATGTCTGTCGAGTGAGTCACTCAGCCCTTGACAAAAAGATTTGTTCGCAGCTTATACGAGCATTATGGGCGGTATCTCAGGGTACAGCCAAGTCTCCGTACTTCCTTTGTCGACTCTCAACTTTGTCGTCACCGCAGTGAGATACACCACACCAGTCTGTCACCGCCAGTCAGCTGAGTAGGCTCAAATATCCATCAGCCACATTTCCTAAACTGCAGCAGCAAAGTCTTAAATATTCTACCATCGAAAGACAGTAGTAGGTGTGAAGGTGTGTCAGAACAAAATAATTGTAATAAAACTAGTTTCAGTGTTATTCAGTTTGTTTTATTAGTAAATCAAATTATAACAATGACATTAATCATGGAAATATGATATATATCTTTTTAATATAAATACATTTTTTCCAAGATATAGTTTATATTGTGAAACATTTATGACAATTTATGTTGTCCTAATCTCTTATAAGGGGTTAGTTTCGCAAAATGAGGTTTTTCTAAGAAGTGTGTCACATGCATGATAGTTTGGAAAGCTCTGGTCTAGCCACTGCATTATTATAGCTCCCATTTTATTCTGACTTTAAATAATAACTACAACAGAGGAAATCATTTGGCTGATAATTCACAAGGAGTTGAATTAATTGTGTGATTTCTTTCATCCCTTGTCATAGTGAGTAATAGCAGTAAATTACCCTTTACACGCCAGTGGCGCCTCAGGCATATGATGCTTAGTTCATATTTTTATAAACCAGTTGACTCTTGGTGGGTTATGCGGTTAGCATCACATCGACTGCCCTTACTTCCCAAGACTTTTCCTGGTACCCATTTTTGGCTGAGTCGGCCTGGAAAATCAGACTGGATGTGAATTTGAACTAAAGACCTTCATGCCAGAGATGGAACTCTAACAGCTGTGCCACCACAGCTTTCCGGCCCATTGTTGTAAATTTTTTTGTAAATCGCTGCTTGTCTTGTTTGCAGGACACACTTTTAGTGTCAGAGGTCTCATCAGGCGGACAACAGAAGTTCAAGGAGAGACGAGTGTTCCTCTTTGAACAAATAGTCATCTTCAGCGAACAAATAGAGAGGAAGAAAGGAAATTTCTCAAATGCAACCTACATTTACAAAAACAGCCTTAAGGTGAGAAGCGGACTTAAATATTGTTATGTGTAATAGCAATTATTTCTTTTTCTGATACAGATGATCCTTTCATCATCATCATCAATTCTCGTTATGCCTAGTGGCACATGAGGCTTCAGAGAGGACTTTCCATGCTTTCCTGTCTTGTGCAATCTTCAGTGCAGTTTTCCATGTCAAAGATGCTGCACTCAGGTCACTTTCCATCGTTCGTCTCCATGTTGTTGTTTTTGGGCGCCCCTGTTTTCTCAAATGATCCTTTAAGCTCCTTAAAATTAGCAAACCCCCCCCCCCCTTTTTTTTTGGTCTTAAATCTTTCACTTCTTCTTTTCTCCAACTTTCCTGTTGTCATGACATACTCCAGTCTTCTCCTTCTCACAATATGCTCCAGTCTTCTCCTTCTTATGACAGGCTCCAGTCTCCTCCTTCTCATGACAGGCTCCAAACTTCTCCTTCTCATGACATGTTCCAGTCTTCTCCTTTTCATGACATGTTCCAGTCTTCTCCTTCTTATGGCAGGCTCCAGTCTTCTCCTTCTCATGACAGGCTCCAGTCTTCTCCTTCTCATGACAGGCTCCAGTCTTCTCCTTCTTATGGCAGGTTCCAGTCTTCTCCTTCTTATGACATTTTCCAGTCTTCTCCTTCTCATGACATGTTCCAGTCTTCTCCTTCTTATGGCAGGCTCCAGTCTTCTCCTTCTTATGACAGGCTCCAGTCTTCTCCTTCTTATGACATGTTTTTATTCTTCTCCTTTTCATGACATGCCCCAGTCTTCTCCTCATGGCAGGCTCCAGTCTTATCCTTCTTATGGCAGGCTCCAGTCTTCTCCTTCTTATGACAGGCTCCAGTCTTCTCCTTCTTATGGCAGGCTCCAGTCTTCTCCTTCTTATGACATGCTCCAGTCTTCTCCTTCTCATGACATGTTCCAGTCTTCTCCTTCTTATGGCAGGCTCCAGTCTTCTCCTTCTTATGACATGTTTTTATTCTTCTCCTTTTCATGACATGCCCCAGTCTTCTCCTCATGACAGGCTCCAGTCTTATCCTTCTTATGACATGCCCAAAGAATGCAGATTATCTGCTTCTACCGCATTTAATCAGTTCTCTTTCTTGCAAGACATCTTCATTGGGTTTTTTATTTTTTTTTTATCTGTCCATATTATACTCATGGTTCTTCTATAAAACTGAAAGGGGGGGGGTGTATGTAGTTAAATTTTGTTTTTTAATTTATTGGTGAACTGTATGGAATGATTTTTTTTTTTTTTATTGTTTAGTTGTTTGTTTTTTTCAAACAGTTTTTATTTTTTTAGAAATTTCTGTGGGAGTCTTGACTTTTTTTTTCGGGGCATAAAAAAAAGTAGTGGGCTGTTTATATGTGAGAAGTGCCACATGCATGTAGTGCTAGAATCATATTTTATAGACCAACTGGAACTCAGTGGTCAACATCATGCGAGCTAGCTTTACCGCCAGTGATATTACCTGATACTCATTTTAGGCTAGGTTAACCTGGGAACCAAGGTCAGTTTTGGAGAAGAAGAAAATCTGGCTTGTGAATTTGAACCCAAGACCTTCAGGTTGGCTTTTACTGTGTTACTGCATCTCTCAGAGTTCTCATCTTTCTTCTATAACAGTTACATCTCAGCGGCTTCCACATAATTTCTTACTAATCTACCTCTTCTTCTTTTTCTTCTTCTCCTCCTCCACCTCCTCCTGCTCCCCATCTTCCTCCAACTCCTCATCTTCCTGCTCCTCCTTCTTCTTCTTCTGTTGCTGCTGCTCCTCTTCCTATTCTTCTTCTTCTTCTCCTCTTCCTCCTCCTCCTCCTCCTTCTTCTTCTGCTGCTGCTTCTCCTCCTCATCTTTTTCTTCTTCTCCTCCTCCTCCTTCTTCTACCTCTTCTTCTCCTTTTTTTTTCTTTTTAGTGTTGATGGCCGTAAACTCCAACAGAAAGTTATGGTGGTCCATTCATTTCTGCATGTTGGTCATGCCCCAGATCTTGAGTTTTGCTAGCGCATCCATTGGTACAGGTCTGGCTTTTTTGTATGCAAAGTGTTGGTTCCTCATCTCTCAGAGAGTTGCACTTTGACTTTGAACCAAACAAACCTTATAGGTTGTTTTTTTACTTTTATCCCCTACCCCCAATGGACCCTGTAATGAGGAGCTAATCTACTGATTTCCATAGTATTCTAATTGTGCGTCTATAAAACCACATCCCTACAGCTCATGAATACTTTCTAACTAATTTACTGACTGCCTGTGACTGATTTTTTTTTTTTTATAGGTGAACAAAATGTCCTTGTGTGACAAAATAGAGGGAGAGCCATTACGCTTTCAGTTGACAGATAGGACGCCAGGTTCGGATGTCAGGATGATTATTCAAGCAAACTCTGAGGAAAACAAAGAAACCTGGATCAAACAAATTCGGTCATTACTGGATATGCAAGGAGACTTTCTTAGAGGTCAGTTGCCATCATGGTTGTCATCACCCTTTCTCTTGGCAAGACTTTTTTTAAAGTGTAAAGGACCCTTTTCCAAAGGCATGTTGAGATTATAGGGATTTAGATATATATATATATATATGTATACACACACACACACACACATGCATGCACACACACACAATATGTGTGTGTGTATTCACACACGAGGGGAAGTCAGTAAGTAAGTCATAAATTTTTGTTTTTAAAAAAAACTAAGGATGACAACTTGAAAACCATTTATTTTTACGCATACACTGTCCCTTTATTTTTCAGCATAATTTCCACCAACATTGATTCACTTGTCCCATCATTTTATCAGTCCTCGCAGACCTGCAGCATAGAACTGTGTGCTCAGTTTTTTAAACCATATTTTCACTTCACATTCGACTTATGCGTCATTCATGAAATGTTTGCTGCTCAATGGACCAAAAATTTCAATCAATCATACATTATTTTGTATGCTGAACCCTATTGCAGCTGCTATGGAGTCAACGGTTACTCTTCTGTCACCTCTAATCATCTCCTCCACCCGCTGCACGGATGCATCTGTTGCAGGCTGAAAAGGATGACCAGCTCAGACTTCATCAAAAATTTTAGAGTGTCCTGGAGAAATTTTCTTTTTACCTAGCTATGCACCGCTTGACGGAATAAACATTTTTTAGCATAAACAAGAAGCCTTTCCTTATGAATGTCCTTTGCAAGCAGCTTTTTTGCCCATAGAAAAAATGCAC